ATGTGCATGCGCATATCAGTGTTTATAGATAGCAAGTGTGATACATAAACATATCAATATATACATATCTTATATAGACACAGTATATATGTATATATATATATTTGCTGATTTGATGGTTTTTTATGATACTGTATTCGGGTCGGGCCAGTTTAGTAGAGAGATGGTTTTTGAGACATTCCATGGGCCGACTGATCTTCAATGTCTTCTGGTTCTGATTCTATTGTTGTTGAGGCTGATCCTTCATGATGTACTTGGGCTGTCTCAGCTTCTTCTGAAAATATTTTGAGCAACTATGTTTCTAATTCTGCTTTCGTTGCCTGTGGGTTCTCCCTTTTCATTATGGATATATATTCTGATAAATTATTTGGGTTGTCAAATGAAACAGATATATTTTCAAGAGGTATTTCCTTAAGGATAATATTGTCAGGCTCAAGTTGGTGGCAGACAAAGACATCCCACTATTTTACTGATATCTGTTTTCCCAAGCATGGTATATATTGATAATTATTGGTTATATTGGGGGATATTGCATATTGTCATTTCAGTATCCAAGGTATTTGGTATAATGCAACAAAATACATATGATAATGCATATTGGGATTACTCCCATTGAACTCAATGAATTTATCTTCAGAGGTTTGTAGGATGTCGGGCATTATTTGGGTTCTGGAACCCCAAACCATAAACCAGTCCTTAAACCAGTTAGGGAATGGGTTTGATACTGGGAGTTTGAATTGTAAAAACCAGGTATGAGAATAATATTGGTTTTGAATTGTAAGCACTTTGTGCCACGCTTCAATATATTCAGAATAACGAAAATGTTTATTTGGGAATTCTGGGGATATTAATCTTTTTGCCCTTGATGGATTTGAACCCCATTCATGAAAATGTAATATCTTTCATATTTGTAATTTTGAATATGAAATTATTCTTGAATTCTTTTGGTAATAATGTGCAATTGTCACAGAACTTGTTTCAAGTAAAATCATTTCAAACCATTCCCTGGTTTTATACCAAAGGAAGGATTCAGGTTATTACATAAATAATGTCTGGCTAGGATATTTGGGTTTTCAGCCACTTGATTATTTTCAATGATAATATCGTCAATAAAAGCAGTTATTTCATATTGAGATTTGGTTGTTGGTTTTCTTGGCACAGAAGATTGTAAGAATAATGGTGTTCTTGGAGATTGTGGGGGTGGTTGGCTTGAATATATAGGATAGACTGGACTATTTGGGTCAGTTGGAGAATATGGTACTAGAGTTTTAGTAGGGCATAAAAGGTTCATGACTTTATAATATATTCGTTATATAATTACTATATTTTGAGATCCTTGGATCATGTCAAATCCTTGAGTTTTTATATTTAATGTTAATACATTTAATATATTAGGATCATTTAAAGAGACTGAACAGTTAGGAAAACAATTAAAATATATAAGTCCACTACATAGACTAGGTTCTACCATTCTTAGTAATGAATCATTGAATTTGTTATGTCTGGTATCTCGTAGACATACTAATATTGAATAGTTAAGTTATAACCTTGTTAATGGTTTAATAGCTACTTGAATAAGTCCTATGTGTAGGTAATTATAATTTTTTGTTTTACGTGTTTGTATTACCTTATTGGATAGTAATTGGAAGTTTTCTTGAATACTAGTTACATATATAGATTGTTCTACAGTCTTAATAGCAGATCCTATTTTTAAATCAAACGATCCTACTTGATATATATTAGAAATAGGTACCTTAGGTATAGTCCAATTTTGTAATTGGTTTTCTATATTGTCGATAAGAATTTCTTCTTTATTTTTTATCTTAAGAATATTGTTATTTTGAGGTAACGCTCTGTTAGATAGATTTCTAATAAAATTTTCCATTATTAAGTTGCGAATGAGTGCTTTCTTGGCTACCTCTTACGTCTTTTCGACCTCAGCGGCTCTCTTGGCCTTAACGGTCTCTCGACTGGGTGCTCTTTAGCCTCAACTCTCAGACCAACTTTCTCTAATGGTGAATTTAATTAGATTTCTACCTAGCAAAGTATTTTTCGAAGTAATAATTTTCTTAACATAAAACTTCTAGAAGAGTTTTTTCTCAGGGTTGGCTCTAATACCAAATGAAGCCAAGATCAACCCTTTAAACTAGTAACCTAAAATAACCTAAATATAAGAACAATTTTATTTCAAACTAATTTAGAAAAATCCAATACCATTATTCCAAAAACTATAAAATGGTCAAAAATTATCTTACCAAAATCATGGTCAATCCAAAATGAAAATATTATCCATTAAACACCATTTAATAATATTCCTAATAAAATAATTGAGCACCTAGATGGTAACATAGAAATAAAGTTTGTAGGATCATAAAAAACTTTAAAATCCAAAAATGATGATGAGATAGAAAATTCAAAAATAAGACTTAACCATCAAGACATTCCCTATCTTCTGCATCCAGTTCATCCAGACCTCAAATACAAGGATTGATAAGAACTAGAGATAATATAGTAATACCTCATTATAAACCAATACAAAAGGAAGCTAAAGAAGACTCAGAATTTTCTGATTCAGAAATGGACTTCCATGTAATGGTATTAGAAGAAAAAAAAATAGATAAAGAATATATAAAGTCAGACTATTTATCAGATGAAAATAAAGATATAAGAGAATGGTATAGAAAAAGATTTGAACCTAGATTAGTCAAATTATTTCATAAAAAATATTATAAATTTATAAAGCAAGAAAAACAAAACAAAGAATTCTTTATATGGTTAAAAGAAATATTAAAAGAAAGAAATATTGCAATTCCTAACTTTGAAATCAATACGTTAGAAAGCCAATATAAGACTTATGATACTCCAGAAGGAACTAAGATTACCAGTGTACATCCCCCAGAGAAAAGCTTAATCATAAAAGGAAAAGAAACTGAAAAAACTCTTACACTTGAAACAAAAGCCACTCCTTATAAAATGACATCTGGAGAAATAGTACATCACACAGAATTAATTCCACATATTATAGAACAAAATAATTATACTAACTTATATATGCAATCTATTCAAAAACAAACTTTGAGAATAGAAAACATGTTAAGATCAGTACCCATACATGAATCCAAAAAATCTGTATTATTTAAACCAGCTCCTACTTTAAATAAAGAAAAATTTCATATAGGAGAAACTTTAATGGATCAATTAATATCTCAATTAGCCAAATTAGATATTCAGGATAAAAATGAAAAAGGCAAAAGTAAAGTCATCATAAAAGAATCAGATACCTTAACCCTAGAAGTTGAAGAACCTAGAATACTCGATACTCTAAAAAATATGGAAACTGCTTTTACAGAAAGCCAACCAAATAATCATTTTATTTAAATAATAGCATATGGAAGAAATTGGAAACCAGCTACAGCAATACCTTATCACCATAGACCAACACCTGTAGATATACAATTTGAAGAAGACCTTATATCACATACAAGCTCCTATTCAGGAAGAACCATAGTTAATTGGTGCACAGATGGCATGTCTGAACTTCAAATACTTGACACCATGAAACATATGACTATGTATGCATCCGCCTGTAAAATGGTAGGCAACCACGACCAGGAAGTAGCCAAAACCATAGTTTGTGGATTTACTGGTTGGTTACGAGATTGGTGGGATTTTCATCTCCCTAAAAATACCAAAAATCAAATATTAAATACTACTCGACAATGGACAGTAAAAAATGAACACAATCAAGATACTGTATACTCTGAAAGTGATGTTGTTAACACTCTCATTTATACCATCACACTCCATTTTGTGGGGAGTACAACCCTCCTAGAGGCAAGAACCGAAGATCTTTTATCCAATCTGAAATGTCCAACTCTATCACATTATAAATGGTATAAAGATGTATTTTTCTCAAGACTATTAACCCGAGAAGATAGTCAATTAGATCATTGGAAAGAAAATTCATAGCAGGATTACCATACTTATTTGCTGAAAAAGTTAAAAATAGATTAAAAAATAAAAATGGAGGAATCATACCCTATTCATCATATACGATTAGGAGAACTATCTGCAGAAGGAATAGCTTTATGCACATATATGAAACTTAAGAAACAATTAGATAAACAAAAAATGACTGGTAAAAAAGAATTAAGAGATTTCTGTGAACAATTTGGATACAATATTGAAAATTCTAAGGATAAGAAATATAAAAAAGAAAAATAGAAATATGAAAGAAAAGATAAAAAACCATATAAACCATATAAGAAACACCGAAGAGAAAAATTCATAAAAAGGTTTTTACCAAAACAAAACTACAAAAAAAGAAAGAAAAAACTACCTATATGTTATCGGTGTGGAAAAATAGGACATTACAAAAATAATTGTAAAGTAAAAAAGAAAATAGATTCATTAATTTTGGATGAAAATATTAGAAATAAAATATATGATGATAGTTCTGAAACAAGCTCTTCTGATAGTTCTAGTAATAATTCATTAATAGGAAATATAGAAGATGAAAACCTTAAATGGAATAGTACAGAAGAATCAGATCAAGAAATGCAAGATTGCTCTTGCAATATGCTATCTAAAGAAGATACTCTCATTTTAGATTTAATAGAAAAAATAATAGATCCCGATGAAAAACAAGAAACTATAACCCAATTTATCAATCTTACTAAAGCTAAGAATAAACCTCCTCTTTTATTAAAAACCCTTGATGAATATAATTTTGCTGATATTATTAAAAGAATCAATAAAAAGGATATGAATCAAAAGGAACCCACAATAGGAGAATTACAAAAAGAAATCCAGGAAGTCAAAACAGAGATTCACCAATTAAAAGATAGAATTTAAATATTAGAATTACAAAGTGAAATTTCAGGAAATTTAACCGATACGAATGAAATAGAATTTGAACAATTGATTAATCAACCGAATAAACCTGAATCATCAGGAATCAAAGAAATAGATGAAAATACATCAGTAAATCTCATTAATAAAGTTATTACACAAAAATGGTTTATATTAGTCAAAATCATAATTAATCATATGATTATACTTTTCAAACCCTAGCATTAGTAGATTCTGGAGCTGATCTAAATTGTATTAATGAAAGATTAGTATCCACTAAATACTTTGATAAAACCAAACGAATATTGAACACTGCTGATGGTAGTAGATTATTAATCAAATATAAATTGTCTAATGCTATTGTATGTAATAATGAGCATTGCTTCCCTATTCCATGTATAATGATTAAAGGACTAAGCCAAGCTGTCATACTTGGCGTCCCCTTTCTTACTTTGTTATTTCCTATTACAGTCACTCATAGAGGATTAGAAACTACTATAAGTAGAGGATTAGAAACTACTATAACTACATACGTTCTAAAAATAAAATGACAAACGACGTCGTTCTTCATCTTGGTCACGCTGGTGACATTGATTGAATTCACGTGACAATTCATTGACTCGTTCTAAAAATGAATCATCCAAATTAGTGGGCACCTGACTATACCCAAATCCCTAAGTGTTAGTGTTTATTTGTGATCCTAATCCAAAATCCCCAAAGCTTGTCCATCCTTCATACTCACCTACACTATCGTGCTCATCCCTACACTCTTGTTGTTGGGACTCGATATATGAATAATTTGGTTGGGATTGGGTGGCCTCAGAATCATCATCTCTCTCGTTTTCCCTTAGACCCCCTTCCTACTCTCCCTCATTAGGTGCAATATCACCGACACCTCCGAGGAATTGTGGATATGTTGGTGGGCTGCTTCCTCTTTCATGCTGCTTATCACCTTCTTCAAGATCTTCCTCACTGATAGCCTCAA